CACACACACACACACACACACACACACACACACAAACACGCACACACACATACACACACACATGCCTCCATTTTTTTTACTCAATGTAATTGCGGATGGATACAAGATGGATGAGTCTGAGCTTCAGTCCTCTTATTGCTATGAATATTCAAGAGGGTGAGCAAAAGAACATTGCTGTATTCCGGCTGTTGAGTCACAGGTCCTCAGTGGCAAGGAAGCACTGCTGGTCAAATGACAGAGGGAGAGAATGAGAGGGAACCATGGACGGGAGAGAGAGACAGAGAGACCGAGAGAGAGAGAGAGAGAGAGAGAGAGAGAGTGTGTGTGTGTGGGGGGCGGGGGGGTTTAAAAGAAACTGCTCCTGGCTGTCTTGGATATTTATTCCCCTGTGAAGTAATGAAGTCTTAAGAGAAACAGGTCAGATGTGTTCTTAAAGGGATAGTTCAAATCTTTTGAAGTGAGGTTCTGTGGGAGGGTAATGAACAATAAATATCTTACCTGTTGTAGATACCACTTTGAACAGCATTAGTTCAGAGGAATGAAATGTAATTGTAATTGGATGTGTGGACCACGATCAAAGGGAATTGCTGCCCTCTTAAAACAACTTCAGTCTCAATAACTTCATAGCGGTTCATGCAAATACTGTTTTAGGGCATGTCTGTCCACATTAGAACAATGTTTGAGAACACACAAAATAATTTAATTTTATTGTTTTGTTTATAAAAACACTTCTAGGAGTGACAAAATTTTATTAAAATAAAACGTTACTAAGCGAAATCTTAAAATGCCACCCCTTGTTTGCAACCTTTTTAAAATTATAATGTCATAGCCCCACCTCTTACCTAACCTATAACTCAACAGTGTTCTCTTTGACTTTCTTAGTTTACATTTTGCACCAATGTGAAGAATTTCTGCACATGATCCATGCTTTATTTTGTTTTATTTTATTTTTTACAGTGCCACACACAGGCCTGGCATTGTTACTACAACATTTTGGGTCAATTTCTGCATTTACATTTGAATGAAGTCATTCCTAGAAAGGGTGCCATTAAAAATGTTTTTTTAACTGCATTTCTGTGCAAACAATGCCTTTGTAAGCCCCTACATCATCATCATCAGACATTACATTATGCGAGTACAAGCTAGCAGAAGATAGCTACAACACGTCTGGGGCAGCCCAAGGAACTTCCAGTAGGAATATGATATTTGCTCTGCCAGAAAGGCATTGTAATACAAAATGGAGTACAAATTGTAATACAAAATTGATGGCAATGTATCTAATCCTGGCAATATTTTCCACAGAATCCCACTTTGGAGGATCTGAATTATCTCTTTAATGCAGCAGACGTTAGCAATGGGAGTTCTGCAAAAACACACGTGCTGTTCTGTTGTTGAACTGATGAATTTGACCAACTTTCATCTAAACTGTTAGTGAAATATTATGAATTCTTATTTAGTTATAGCAACGATGCGCAGATTAATTGTTAAGTACTTGTGCAACGCATCACTGTTGCAGAAATCACTTCCTGGCTTTGCATACAATAGAACCCCTAATGTCAGCGCCCATATCATTTGTCAGCATCTAGAGGTTATCTGCCAAGTTGATGAACAGAGAGATTGGCTATGAAACACAAGGTGTGACAGTATGGCAATATGTTATAGTATGCAGGCAGAGCTCATCAGGAAAAAGAGGACGAGCGGCTTTGTTCCAAATGTCACGATGCATATTTATGGGCGCACTGGAGTGGCTCCTTGTATAAGCACCATTCACCATCTATCAAGCAAAACCACTACACTGTCTCTTTGACAACTTTGTGTGACAAAGTGATCAAACCAGCCAATCTGCTTATGGCTCGAGTGAAATTTTCTTGTGGTGTTGACTGTCACTTAGACAATTAAGTTAACTGATAATTGCAGCCACACAGCCTTGTTAAATAGCTGCCATTAGTTTATTGTAAGAACAAAAGTAAATCACAGCTCCCCACCCCCATCCCCTTGGAAGAAAAACGTGAGTGCTGGATGCTAAAATGTACTCTCTCTTTGGTTCAAATTGAGATATCAAAGAGAAGTGGGAGAGGATAACACAATATAGTGGGGGTGTCAGACTGAAAGACGGTCAGACAGCTGATACAAGCAACATAAGCTCCACTCAGCTCTCTTTTCCGCCGAGGAGGCTCTCGGGAGAGTTGTGCGCTGGCTCTGTGCGCCTGGGCCATCCAGCACAGGATGGGCAGCCTGGCTGTCTGGCTGCTGTGCCGCTCCTCTGGGGAAAGAACATGGCTCCAGGGCTGTAGCTGATTTGAGATGGTCTCAGGACTAACCCTCGGGGGGATATCAACCAAGCAGAATTGGTTCTCTGAACCTCTATTTTTCCAGAAGCAGTGGAGCTCGGTGGCTGTGAAGAGACTCCACAAGAGGCCTTTCATCTTGACTGTGAACAAGTCGGTGGATTTCCTCCAAATTATAGGGAGTGAATACATCCCACCTAGTCTTCCTTGCAACCCTCCTTCTTTTTCCTCAAGATTGGGCCCCCCAGGACAGCCAGCTATCGCCAATCTCCCAGCTAAGTCATTACGTGGAAGTTAAGCCATGTGACGATTAGCCCGGAAATAATTTAGAGCACAACCTAAACCATGCTTTTTGTACACTAAATTAGTTGCCCACCATGCCCTGGGAAGATTGGACGGAGCCACAGGACAGTTTGCAGGAGTCAGTCATTTAAAACAACCCCCAGTTCAACAAAGGCAAAAGATATAAGCATCAAGCCATACAGTGGAGGTTTCCAGGCCCCTTTTGATGGCAGAAAGGTTTCCCATTACTTCTAAGCTATTACCTCCATACAGTAAGGATTACACAGACACAAGAACACTGGTACTCTGTCTACCAATCTGTTATTTCTTTTTTTATTTATTTATTTTATTCGAAAACTCCCCCAAGCTTTTCCATTATCTTCTCCATATCGAGCCTGACCCGAAGAGAAAACCTGTCCTCTGAGAGGTCAATGAAGTCTAGAATTTCTCCGCATTCTGTGCCTCTCTCCCCCACCCTGAATATTGCTTTAGGATACAAGAGAGATGTGGCCCCGCCACCTTATTCCCACTCACCTTAAGCCCTCGTATGCTTCATCCCCGTCCTCCATTTCCCACCTACAAAAGCATCCCCACCCATCACCATAATCTTTCTATTTCACTCGCCTGTCCCTCAAGGTTAAGGGTTTTGGAGATGGACACAGGCTTTGTCTGTCAGTTGACAGCGCTGCTATGCGTGATTTTGGCTGAACACTCTTGACTGGGTGGTCTGAGCTTTTTCTAAATAATATTGTTTGTACATGCGGCACAATGCATGACCAAAAAGAGTCAAGACATGAAGTGTCTTTTTTTTCCTGCAGATCGTGAATGTCTGCTTTGGCTGGAAATACAGACAAATGCTTCACAAGCTTATTGCAATAATGCTGATTTTATTAATTTATTTTAATTAATTCATTTTTTTTGCTGTAGGGCTTTGTGGCAAAGTTATGAACAATAAACATCTGACCTGTTGTAAATAGTTTACTGAATGGTCTCAGATTGGAGAAATGGTAAACCTGACTGGATTAATGAGGTAGCAGCTACTTTAAGTGAAAGCTAAAACTAAAGTAGATTGCTGCTACCTTAAAGAAAGGCAAATAAAAAAATTAAAGCAGTTGTGGACCGTTTTAGTCAGTCTTGTTATTCTTAACTGTGATATTAAATCATTGGTACAAATCAGACTAGCAGGTAGTTCATCAGTCTTGTCAGAATCAACTTTCATTTCTCCAAAATGAGGTTGTTTAAAGAGCTATTTTCAACAGATTAGATATCAGGCTACTTGTTTATAGCCTTTCCGCTGAACCCTGCTTGAAAACATCTGAACTACTTGTTTGAAGGAAGCAAAGAGCCAGATGCTAAGAGACAGATTTTAGAATGAAAACAAACATAGTGTTAAGACAAAAGGATTTTACATAAGGTGGCACGGTGGCTCAGTTGTTGCCTCTCACCAAGAAGGTTGCCGGGTCAAATCCTGGCTGGAGACCTTCATGGGTACCTGTCCGGAGACCTGTCCAGAGTGTACCCTGCCCCTCGCACTGCGACTGCTGGATGTAGACCCCTGTGACCCTGAACGGAAGAAATACAGGTTAAGCTAAATAGATGATTTTACATAAAAAGAGAAAGATTCTTAATGTGGGCTGACTCTTGGCTGTGGAATTTGTATGGCCTCTTTGTGCCTGCGTGGCTTCTCTCTGGTTACACTGGTGTCCTCCTACAGTCCAATAAACATAGGTTAGTTTAATTTGTGACCCTTCAAAATTACCACAAAAGTGTGTGTGTGTGTGTGTGTGTGTGTGTGTGTGTGTGTGTGTGTGTGTGTGTGTGTGTGTGTGTGTGTGTGTAAGCACGGTTGTGTGTTGGCTGTGTGATGAACTGTTGGTTTGTCCAGGGTATGCCTCCTGCTGGATGGCTTCTCATTAACCGGCAACGATAACAATCACTTCTTCTTAGAGTTCATTCTTAAGTGATTAGGGTCAGATTACTATTAAATGTGGTCCGTTAAAGTAGGCAATTTGAATTTTTTTTAATGTTTGCATAATATATTGGGTCAGTAAAAATGGTTCAGCCATTCATTTTCTGTATCTGCTTAATCCTGTTTGGGGTTACAGTGGCTAGTGTCTCTCTCCAGCAGTGGACAGGTGAGAAGTGGGCAAACCCCGGACATTTCACCACTCTATCACAGGGCCAACGCAGAGACACAGGAGACGAATAACTGTGCACATTCAAGCCTATTTAGAACCTTCAATTAACCCAACATATATACTGTGGGAAGAAAAAAAAAACTGTATTCGACTATGTGGGCAGGTGGCTGCCTCTCAGATTCAAATCTTATGAAGAATTGAAAATCCACAGGCTTTTTTTGGACACTTCGCTTTTCTGCTACAGTCAAAAATGCAATGATGAAATTTTCTTAGTCATTATAAATTGCAGAGGTGTATAAAGTATTTGAAAAAAAAAAAGAGAATTAAAAGTAAAATTACTTTAATGGAAAAATAATTTGGTAAAAATCAATTTCATTGTCAAATCATAACACCGCTAAGGTAAAAGTTAAGCTTTACACCACTGCAGCACACGATGTGTTGAATTCACTTTACCAGTTATGTCAGCTGGTTCCACTAAGCTGAGTAAAGTAAATGTAAAGCATTTGCATATGCTCAAAATTTTTTCTTTTTCTTTTTTAGAGTAAATAAACGACTCGTTTCATGTTGAGTTCTGGTCATATTTAAATTTGTAGTGTATAACAAAGTATTACATTTAAAAGTAAGTAAAAGTATAATCTCTTATAATCTCTCTTAAAAGTAAAAGTAATGATTAAAAGAAATACTTGGTTAAATACAGATCCTCATAAAAAGAAAAAACTTAAGTACTGTAACAAAGTAAATGTACTTCGTTACACTTCTACTAAATTGACCTTAGGATTTAATCTTTTGTGTGCGGTTGTGTGTCATTGTGTTGGCCCTGTGAGCATCTGGCAAACTGATTTTTTTTACCCCAGCACCCACCCCTCCTACAACCCTGAACAGTTCAAAGTAAAAGCAGAAAACAAAGGTAAGCAAACGAACTTACAGCCCTGAGATGTCTCCTGTTGTGAATTAGCGCTGTGTAAATAAGCTGAGCTGAACTGCCCGTCAACCATCAAGTTTTAGAAAAACCCTGGCAGAAACTAAGTTCACTAATGCCTTTGTGCTCATCTGCTGCAGAGAGCGAGAGGGAGAAAGAAAATGCCTGGCATTTCAGATGCATACTCCTACACAATTTCATTTTAAATAATGTATAGGCTGCAGAACGAGTGGCCATCATTGACATGCACTCTGTAGTGAAATTATATTAGAGCACAGTGTCATTGATTACAATTAACCCATGTTTAAACTGGCTTATTATGGTAATTTTTTTCCTTGTGGTTATTGTAAAAGCTCACTTGTCTGGAAATACTCTGAATGATTTGCTTTCGAGACTTAACTTGAAGCATACAGTATTCTCACGTTGCCATCCTCATTTCTTGGCTGGAAATTAGAAGAGGTATGAGAGTGAGGTCTGGGTTTTTACTGTAACAGTAAACTTTACAACCAGGAGACAATATCACGTTTTTTTCTTCAGAATTGTTTGGTTTTTATTATATTTGCTGATCCAATTACGAGTCGATAGATCAATTCAATTCCTTCAAGGACAGAAGTATTTAACAAGGGTACCACGTTTCAGAGGATAAAAATATTTTTCTTGCAACAGTTGAGGCCATGTGTTATAACAAAGAACGTATATATACAAGAGCACAGAGGTCATTTTTGAAAGCCAAAGTAATAAAGTGTACCCCCCCCCCCCCCCCCMCCCTTCTTAAAAAAAACATTTCTTCAAGGCATGCAACAACAAATGGAACAGGGGACAAGGAGGGAGGGGGGGGCTCATTGAATATTCATTAACCGGTGCCTAGGTGTATACATGGCTCTTAACCACTCTTGTTTATGACTTAAGGACTTGTAGTACTGACCTTAGTTTAACACAGCAGCAGATACCAAATTAACCTCTAGCCTCCACAGGGCTAGCCATGCCCTGCTAACAAGCAACCTGTCTAGACACACAAGAAGCACTTTATGATTCCACCTTTCGCAATCCCCACTCTTTCTTTCTTTCTTTTTTTTGTTTCTCTCTTGCTTTTCTTCTCAGCCTCCCTGCCTCTGCTAACACGCACAGCACATCCACATCCTCACGCCCTCTGTCCTCCTCTGTGCTTGGGTGTTTGGGTCACGCACCCAACAACCAGGGGTTTATTAGAGGAGACACTTTGCTTGTATCCTTCACAACACAGAGCAGGAGCAAAATAAAACCATTCCAAGAGATATGACTGATCTGGAGGGAGTTGATTTTTTTGTTAAGGCAATTAAAATGGGATTACATGGATTATTGCCACTTTTTAAAATGTTGTTTTTTTATTTTATTGTAGCACATATTTAAAATAAATTTAAAAATGCTATTCTGAGGTAATTCTTTACCCAAAAAGTACAAAATATAAAAATATACAATTTCACAAAACCTAACATGAAAAAAAAAAAAATAATAGTAATAATAATGGCCCTATGATGGACTTGCGACCTGTCCAGGGTGTACCCCGCCCCTCGCACTGTGACTGCTGGATATGGGCACCAGTGACCCACACAACCCTGAAAAGGAAGAAGCGTGTACAGAAAATGGATGGATGGATGGATAATAATAATAATAATAATAATAATAATAATAATAATAATAATAATAATAATAATAATAATAATAAAGAAAACACTGATGTGCATCTCTTTATTATTAGAGGAGAAACTACAAAAATATACATACAAATACTGAGACCCTGCTGGTCTGGGTTTGGATCGAACACTTTCTTAATTTTATTCACTTTAGTTGAGTATTACTGACTAAACAATATAGTTTGTTACCTTAGTTTCTGTATGTTTCAAAATATTTGGTGTGATCCATCCAGCCTTGGGTGATGTTTTTACTTTCCCCCTTTATAAAAAACCTGCACCCTAATCTTAAAATATTTATTATGCAAGAACAGAAAACACTGTCTGCTACCTCCAACTGACCTGTTCATGGGGAATTTTTTTTCCTCGAAACATTATACATAGGCTGCAAATTAAGTTATAATAAAATGTTAAATCAAACATTTTAGAAAAAAAATACAAACAAGAAAGATTCTAGTTTAATTAATTTTCTATCTGATACCTCCAAACTTCTGCAATCTTTGTTCCTCTGTGTGTAGATGAGTTAATTTATGGCTGCGCGTTTTAGATTATTGTCCACATGAGTTTCCGTAGTGCAGCCTTTTGATTGGCTAATTCGCCGCACACACCACATCGTTTGGAAGACGTTCACCTGGTTAGTGAAATGTTAGCGTAGCTGTAACTTCTTCAAAAATGAAACTCAAGACGTTTCTCTGTGTTATATTGTCCGCTATGATACAGCAATAATGTTAGAATGTAGCAAACGCTTAACGAGGTTGTTAAGTGCAAACGAGCTCACGGAACAGACGCTTGTTAGCCTTTAGCCTGCTAGCTGTACTAGCCATAGCAGCTAGCTTTGTTCATTTACACAATTTTGACTAAAGCGTTTGCTTTTAATTAAATAATGCATGATCACAGTTTTTCCTTTAAAAATGTCGTTTTTGAATGTAATGTTTGCGTTTTTAAACAAAATTGAGGACCATCGACGTAGTTTATTCAGTCAATGCTAATAGATGTGGCTAAAATGTACACTAACACTTTGTGTATTCTGTTAAAGATAAAACATCAAGATGAGTCTGAGAAAGCAGACACCGAGTGACTTTCTGAAGCAGATAATTGGGAGACCTGTGGTGGTTAAACTGAACTCTGGTGTTGATTATAGAGGTAAAGCAGTCGACATAACAAAAATCTGTTTTTTTTTTCTGATCTGCAATAATAACTGAAAGGTAGAATTTAATCCAAACCATTGTTTGTGTTTTAAACGTACAGGTGTTTTGGCCTGCCTGGATGGCTACATGAACATCGCCATAGAACAGACGGAGGAGTATGTCAATGGACAACTCAAGAACAAGTATGGGGATGCCTTTTTGAGAGGAAACAATGGTGAGGGTCTACATTATTACATCTTCTGGGCTTGTTCTTAACACAGCTTATTATCTACAGATGAGATTCATGTGATAAAGTTGAAGTTTATTAGAAAATATGAAGCCTGCATAATCCAAAGCTTAACTTCAGGCATATCTAACATGAAAAACACACTCAAAAACGTCATATTTGTGTCATCTCTTTGAAAATTCCATCTCAGATAAATGCTTAAATTTGAAGGTAATTCACATCAATGCAGCTTGTGATTGCAATGGTCTGCATACAAGACTTTTAGTGAATTTCTGAAAAGCATTACACACATGCTCGTTGAGGTAAGGTGAAGATGGGAGGAATGGCACACTGCTCCAGTAGACGATATGTTTTTTTCTGAATAAACCAAGAGTACAACAAATTAAAATGTTTAGTATTTTGATTAACAAATTGATGAGTTAGACAAAACCTGCTTTCATTTATTTAAAATCTTGACAGAGAGATCATCCACCCTCAGTGTAAGTATAAAATACAACTAGGATCAGGTGGAGTGTTCAATTATGCTTGATTCCACCATGGGCGTAAGAAAAATAAATCCATGAAAAAGCTTTCAGTTTGTCTTGTATGATAATTTGGCCCTGCACTGAGTAATTGTGGACTTTCAGATTGAGGTAGTTACGACACTCTTATCAATTAATTGCAAATTTGTAGTAATATATCTCAAGCGTTTTTGTTGCAGAAAGATTGCAGAATTAGAACTTTGTATAAACCTTTCTAGGCTTTATGCAGCTGGACAAACTAACCATGTGTTGCAGCGATAATGCCACTCTGTTCTGACTACTAGGCCTTCTGTGGCACAGTGGTTCAGCAGGAGGAAAGTCATAGGTTCAATTCTCCACTATGCCATACTATGTTGTGGTGTCCTTGAGCAAGATGCATATTCCCAGTGTAACAGCTCAAATTAACCCCAGATTAAACCCAATTGTAGTCTGGCCCCTGCCAAACTACACTGCCTGGCCAAAAAAAAAAGTCACCACCTTTAAGATCTTGTATTGAGTCTGACTGCTGCACAAAGCCTTCTCTCCAGCACATCCCAAAGATTCTGGATGGACTCTGTGGAGCCAATCCATGAGTGAAAATGATGTCTCATGCTCCCTGAACCACTCTTTTATAATTCGAGCCTGATGAATCCTGGCGTTGTCATCTTGGAATATGTTTGTGCCATCAGGGAAGAACAAATCTATTGATGGAATAACTTGTCATTCAGTATATTCAGGTAGTCAAGACCTGACCCACTGCAGCAACCCCACATCATAGCATTTAGTTAAATCCAGGTGGCAACTTTATTTTTTCTTTTGGCCGGGGCAGTTTATATCTGGGGATGTAACATATCCTAGGCCAAACTATACCCTTCCAGGCCAGAAGGGTTAAGGTTATGGTTAGGTTTAGAATTAAGTAATTCTTAAGCATATGATTCAACACTACTGATATCATGATATAATCTGACCTGAGGCATATGGATTGGTCTAGACCAATTTCCATCCATGTGCAGTCTGGACTAGGGGTATAGTATGGCTTGTTACATCAAGTGCTTAAATAACTTCCCTCTGCTCCATGTGTGCATGTCTTAGATGTGTGATGGATCAATTGTTGAGACCAAATTTTGTCATTAATGGGCACATGCAACAATGACAATACTCTGTCAGTACGAATCACATTTTTCACCGTTGCCTTTTTTCAGCTGCAACATGATATATCGTGGGGAAAATTTAATCCTTTCCAACACATTATGAAGTCAAATTCAAAGTTTTAGGACCTTGCAAAATATGTGACTTGAAAAACTAAAAGTAACTAAAAACCTCTTGTCTCAACAAAGCAACATAAAATAGGTTGTTGCAATTTTGAATAAATTAACATTTCTATTATAGGTCCATCTTGCTGCCTTTTGTTATTCACGAAAAAGATACAGCATTGTATTTTATTAGTTAAAGTCCAACATGAGTTTCTATAATATTGATTAACATAGAAAAAAAAAGGAAAAAAATGCAGGAATGCTGCAGTCTGAATAGAGACTCAGATGACTGTCCCTGAGAGAGTTCATGTTAATCAGTTAAGTGTCCTTGTAATGAGATTTCATCAGTATTGGTTCACCTCAAGGATTTTGTGATGGTTTAAATAGTTTTGTATTCTCCTTTTGAGTCAGAATTTCTGCTACTTTAAACGGATGTCTGTATCTTCCTGCTTCTGGCTTTATTTTCCACACAGCAGCCAAGTACTGTACCTACTGTATGATTCAATGTGAATCATGCCGGCCAGTTTATAGTCTCTAGATGGGACTATTTTAGTCATAAAAGGAGCAGGTGGCTGAATGTAGATTTGTGTATAAGCGGAAGTCAAAAATAAAAACATACCTGTCTGCTTTTCAGTCCAGCTTACAGCCTTGTAAGTCTGTTGGGTATGACCAGAGCAGATCAATTCAGCTTTAAGAGGAGAAATGGGACTTAAGTGGGGGAGGAAAGCTGCTGTAGGTCAGTGCTTCCCACAGACAATTTGTGGTCAACCATAGGAAGTAAAGGGTGGGTGACTTCAAAGAGCACTGAGCATCGATAATCACTTGTTGTAAAGAACATTGTATTCATAAGGCGACCATTTTGTTCTGCTGTGGTCAGTCGTATTTGGTTGGTCCAATAAGGCTGCTGGGCAATAACCTTTTTATGTTTTCTCTCCTGATTTTTATTGTTGTAATAATTGAACTTCATTAAACCACTTATTTTAAACTGTTGGATTTCAGTTTTTCATGCTGGTGTTTTAAACTAAAATAAACATGAATTTGCAACCAGTAGTTTATAAAATATTTAGCAAATGCTACAGATTAATGAAAACACAGACACAAGCAAAGCCATTGCCTCTTTTATCTGAGGGTGATTCTGCATTACTTACCTCGGTCTCATTTAGATTACTGTATTTGAAGTCTTATTTGTCTACCAGCCCTGTTTAGTCTTCTTTAATCAAACTCTAGTTTGTTTGCCTGGAAAGTCTGGTTCGTTTGTGGAGGTGTGAGCGCGTAATCGAACTCTAATTCGGACCAAAAAAGTGACCTCTGGTCCGCCTGCAAACGTAGGTCTCAGTTGGGTTGAAGCGAACTCTCGTGCGGTTTGATTACATGTGTGAACACCAAGTGGACTATAACGCAGTGCATTCAGAGTAATAACCGTAACATGGAGATGTCTCAGTCGCTTTGTGTAAAAAACCAATATCTCTGCGGTTCTACCTCATCTTCCAATCATGTTAATCCCGTTGTTAAAGTCTATTTAAGGCACATTTGCCAAAAACAAAACAAATCCTACAACCACTAAAATCTGACGTCACTCCATGTTCACGTTTTGTAAAGAAAGAAGCTTCGCTCAGCGTCTTCTGAGGTTTTTGTGTCGATTTCTTCAGTTGTTCTTGGTGCAGCGCCTCCACAGGCGAGGGAGGGAGCAGGTTGTTCACAGGGTTTAGTTTGTTGGACAAAGTGCAGTGTGAATGTGAACTGCACCACTGAAAATGTAAACAATGTCCCCAATCAAACCGAGTCTATCGGACTATCAGGTGTGGACGACCTAAATCGGGTTCTCAAACTTTTTGGGTCTAGGGACCCCTTACATGGGAGAAAGATTTCCAGGGTCTCTCTCATAAACCCCATGCTGATTAAAAACAATTTCCTGCTACTATAACCCTAACTGCCATAAGAATATTTATTTTTTTGCAGCATGTTTGTTTTACTGGTGCATTGTTGCCTGTATGTATTTACACTTTTTAAAATATAACAAAATGAACAAATGCCATTTTTGAGGACGTTCAAGCTACAGTTTGCAGACCTCTAGGGGGCTCTTGGACTCCAGTTTGAGAATCTTTGCTCTAAATGAACAAAAAAGTCACAATACTTTAGAGTTCCACAAACTAACTTTTATATATTTTTTGCTTTCTCTCTTACAGTTCTGTACATCAGCACCCAGAAGAGGAAGGTGTAGTGATGTTTTCAGTTTTGTTTTTATTTGATGTTGCAGAAAACAACTGTTTATGGTTTTTAGTTTTATAAAGCCAGTTTTGTTAAAAAAGAGTAAAATGTGAATTTCATTTACATGTATTACATTTTTTGTTGTTGTTGAACAATGTTTGATTTAAAAATAAAATGACATTTATAGAATTAGATTAGGTCCAAGTCTGTTCTTTAACCAGGTAATATTTAAAACCTTATAATGCTGCTCTGATATTTAAATTCATATTTGTTAAAATTCATCAGTCCTGGTGGGCTTCTAGAGGTATAAATGTGGGAGTAGGAGGGGGTGGGGGTGGCTAATTTCTTACACTAAATCCCTCATTCGTTTTATCCTTAGCGCGAGCAAAATCACCTAAATCTAGCCCCTTGTTTTCTCACAGGGCTTCAAAAGGATTAGAGTGTAATATTGTAATTTGTAAAACTTAATGTGCTCGTTCTGTAACTGATCCTGATGGAACTGGCCCACAGAAACCCAATGGCTCATTTTCAGACGCTCCCATCATCACTTCAAACTCTTTGTGACTTAAAAACAAAAATTCTCAACAAAAACTCCTCTTTGATGCTCCCAGCTTTTATCTCTGGCTTCCTGGTTGTCCAACTCATTAATGATGTGACTTAAAGCCCCGCTCTAGTTGATCACAAGATAATGATGGCGCTCTGCTGCGACGGTCTCTAAAATGTAGCGGACAATGGTGAGTGTAGAGGGGAACTTGTTGCTCTTTTTTTAATGCACCACTCCTCACCAGTTCAGCCTCTACCTGTGAAAGGAAAGGTTTCCCTTGCAGACGATGCAAATGTGTATTAGTGAGTAACAAAAGACTGCAGCACTAATCTGTAAACGGTGCCACCTGCAGGCTGCGTGGATGTGAATTGGATCGACTCCCGCTGCCCTCTGCTGCAGCCTCCCCGTTCTTCCAACCCTTTTTATTTTCTTTTTACGTGGAATCGAAACCTCCGACCACAGGGGTGTTTTTAAAATTAATATTTATTTATTTATTTATTCCTCGACTTTGTCAAGTTTGGATGTAAACTGTCGGGTTTTGACCTGTGAAAATCAATGCAGCAACAATCTGGAGGTTTATTTCCGTTTCAGCTTGGTGGCCTTTAGCAAATGAGTTCAAAAGCAGCATCACCTCATTAGTCTGCCATAAGAATGCTATAAATATATGATTCATTAGGTTCATAATGAGACGGCTGAATTGTGTAGGCAGCTAGGGTAATATTATTTTTCCTTCCAAGGGTGGATTTTCTTTCTTTCATTTTTTTCCCTCCTTTAAGAGCCTTGTTTTCCAACCTGTACATGCGCACTCTTGCCCCTGGAAGGAGACAAAAGGCTGCCAAGGTCAGGCCTTATTTGAGAATGAAGGACGCGTTATTGATCAAACTCTGCTGAGCTGCAGCTGTGGAGAAAATGTTTTGGAGTGGTGGTGGGGTGATTGTACACACACACACATACACAGAGGCGGATGTTGCCACTGAGTGATGTGTCCACAGAAACAAACTGTACACACACGCACACACATAGTCATCATAGGTTTGGTACAGACAAATATTTACCCGCTGCAATCATAATTGAGCTGCGGGCCGTGTGTCCTCACCAAGACGCAAATTAATACAAATGACCTCGCAGGAGATGAGCAATCGAACCGCGCGCTTTTCATGAATTCAAAACTTTTCTTTCCCCTCGACTTCTTCATCTTGCATGACCGCATTTGTATTCATACTGATTTTACCCTCCTAAATCCGTTCAAACCTGTTATTTTATTTTAATCTTATGGATTATAAAGAAGGTGCCTGAGGGTTATAGAAAATATTTAACCCCCCCCCCACTTTTTCCCCCCCCGCTGCATGGCAATAAGCCTGTCCTCCTCAGCCCAGGCATCTCTGCTTCAGCTGAGGGAGGATGCTGCAGTGGTTCGGCGTTGACGTGCGGAGGTGAGTGATGGAGGGGAGAGGACAAAGGAGGATGGAATAAGTGACAGCCTCGTTATGTTTGGAGGAAAAGGCAGAAGTGGGTAGCTTCAGGTCTCGCAGCGCCACCCTCTGCTGAAGTGGCTGAACTGCAGCGGAGACGTGGGAAGGGAAGGAGTGATCTGACCCTGGCTGATCACTGCAGCATGACTGTCTAGTCTCTTCGCAGGGGATCACAGAATGACAAGGACAACCATTTTTTTATGTTTAGCTGAATTTATTTGGACAAGTACAACTGGATTATGTTGAATGCAAATCTGTTCAGAGTGACCACTGTTCTTGTCCACAAAGTTAAACATTTAATAAAAGCACATTTGTATTTTAAATGTTAATTTGGGACAAAGCAAAAAATAAATACATAAATCAAGAAATGAAAAAATGACCAAAAGCAAGGTTTTGCTGCTCGCTCTGAGGTGTTTTGCAGGATAGGAGCGAGTGTCTGAAGAGACCGTCCTGTTGGCTCCATGTGAGGATGTGAACTTGACCAGCTTTAACCTCTGCCTGACAGCCTGTCATGTGTTTAGGATGTCAGCGATGGCGGTGACCTCCTGCTCGGCCTCTCTTTTTAGTTTTTTTTTTCTTCGCATTCCACATTCTGGGTCAGAGGTCCTGATGAGATTGCGTAAAAGACAAAAAGTTTAAAACTGTCCTACTAGTGACTTTAATTCACCGATTAATCAATTAGAAATTTCTGCCTCCATTCAGAAAAATTAAATGTTTAGTTGCTCCTTCCAGTTTTTATTTTTTATTTATTTTTATTTAAGTTTAGATAACCTGACTCCGTGTTCAGGTTGGAGAGCTGTTTTGATCCTAATTGAGAGTGAAGGTCCGTGTTGCTTTGCAACTTCTTGGCTCTTTATTTAGCCTCCGAGGACACTCAGCCTTGGCCAGAAATGTGACCCTTGACCCCCTTATCTGGAAAACTTCTATTCCCAGCATGTGTGGGAAGGGTGGTGGTGGGGGGGTTCTGTGATTAATCTTGGCTCCAAATGGCAGCTTGATGCAGATGGTGAGGTTAGAAGAGGGTAACTAGGTGCTCCAGAGGCTGCAGATGAGTACAATTTCACTCCCATGCAGGAGAAACGTGTTTGTGTGTGTGGTGTGTGTGTGTGCGAACAGCACCGGACTGAGACTAAAGCAGGAAGAGTCCTGAATGCTACGCTCCATGTGAGTCCTTGAACCTTGACTACAGAAGACTCTGCAGCTGTCCCACAATAGTAGGATCTATTTTGGAAACACAGTAGCGTGCTTACTAATGTAACCATATTGTATTTTTGACCGTGACCTGACCCACTTAGGCCACAGTTAGATGGGAGACTGTGAAAACAAAGAACATCATAAGTATTCTTCTTGACAAGGCAAAAAAAGAAGTTTGTCTCAAAGAAGTGGTCTGTCTTGAAGGACACTGTTGCACTTATTTTTAACAGTTTGATCTCATCGTCTTAAAACAGTTTATCAAAAATGATTCTTGTCAAAACAATACAAGTGGATAAGTAGTCTAATATAGTTAAAGGCACTCAGATCAAACTTGATGTAAGTGAGAAAATCTAAATTTTGCTCTTTTTCTTCCTTGTTTTGGTCTTCACTGACATGAAAAAAAAAAGCATGACCTGCATAAAACCAGAACAGAGTTATAAAGAGGAAAGGGAGTGTTTCATTTAATTTTGAAATTTTTAACAATTACACCAGGTAAATACAGATTTAATTCTTTGCATTTTCTATAAAAAAATCACATTCCTAACTTTTTAAAAATAATAATGCTAATCTACATCTTAATTTTTTTTTAAATAAAAGACACTGAAAGTCGTTTCATTTGTCAATCATTTTGAAAAAAAAAAAAAAACATTTTTTATAAGCTTGGACGCTTTATTTAGAAGGACCTAAACGTTGAATGCTCTGAAAATTTGTTTCAATGACTTCTAGTGAGAAAAACAACATTCCTTCCACCAGCTGCACTCACAATAAAATTAAATTAAAAAAGTTGTTTTTTTAATTCTGTAATTTACCTCAACTATCATGTGCAATGCTGGACTTTATATTACTCCTTTTCATCATTTTTAACGTTTTTTTTTTTTTTTTTTTGCCGAAAGACAGCAATGACAATGTTAATGGTGGCAGTTTCTGTTATCAAAATATCTCTGGAAACACTGGATGGATCTTAATTAAATTTTCATTAAATGTTCATTGGATGTTTATCTATAGCTGATTAAGTTTGGAGTCAACCCAACTTGAGATGGCTGTCACAACTAACTAACATAAAACACCAACATAGCTGTAACTCAGTCAGTTTTACAAACACTGAGCTAAAGTTTGATGCGGTAGTAGTGGAGAGTCCTTCACAACACGTACTCTGAGTGTGACACCTTGTGAAGTTACATGGAATTACATGTTGCGTTAGTAGGTTTGACCAAAATTATCTTGGCACTATGACTTTAGTAAATGTCACAAGTGATTCACAAGTAATATGCATTACAACATATGTTCACTTTTCGTTAAGCTTTAATTTGCACAGTATTTTTCTATTATTGCCTTGTACATTCTATTCTATTCTATTCTATTCTATTCTATTCTATTCTATTCTATTCTATTCTATTCTATTCTATTCTATATTTACAGTGTTTCTCAGTTTTCTTTTCTTACTTTTTTTCAATCAGGAAACAGATCCCTTATATCCCCAATTAAATGGCTTTCTACTCTGTTTTTGTCGGTGATTTGTGTTTCATTTTCTAAGGAATCAGAAAATATATTATTTTTAAAAATAAAGAGGGGAAAAAACACCTCATTATCAGAAAGATATAAATGTTTAGGTCATATAAAAAAGTCTGTTGCATCAGCGGTCGCCTTTGGATTCTTTAACAAACAGGGAAGCTTGTCAACAATAGTTTGAATGCAGGGTAAGTTACTTGGGCTAAAATAATAATAATAATAATTACAGTTTGCTCCAAAATACCTGTCCTATTTATCAGCCAAGTCTGACTACTAGAGTATGCACCGAGGATTTGCAGGAAATACATTGTAAGCCTGCATGCAGGCAGTTAACCTTCATTACCCTGCTGTTCTGATGCCAGGTAATATGGA